TGAGAAAGAAAATGAACAATAAGAGAGACTACAGCAGTGGTTGGAGGAGAAAGAAAATAAACAAGAAAAAAGTATGCAACAGTTGAGAGAAAGCCAGCATACACAAATAGAAAAGATGAGTAAATTTCAAAGTGAATTAAATATATTAAAGGATGATTTAATTTCTTTTACACAAGGTGGATATATTAGCCATCGACCTAATCAGCCTCAGACAACGGGAAGCCCTTCCAGACCCCGCAGCTAAACCCTGATGCAGACATCTTCAGTCCTGTCAGAAGTCACATTCCAGACATGAGTGTCAGTAATAGAGATAATCTAGTACGAAGGAAGCCACAGGAATTCGATGGGAAGTCACCATGGAAAGCATATATAGCACAATTTCATTAAATTATTTTTGAGGATTGAACAGCTGAGATGGACCAATAGGTCCCATGTTGTCTCAAAATATTATGTTATGTTATTGTTCATTAACAAGTAGATGCAATAACTCTCACAGTGTAAGTTACTACAAGATTATAAATTGACCCACTGAACACTTCACTGATTAGCTAACTCAACTGGTATTGCCCCCCAGTAGCACAGCGATATGTCTGTGGACTTACAACGCTAGAATCCGGGTTTCGATACCCGTGGTGGGCAGAGCACAGATAGCCCATTGTGTAGCTTTGTGTTTAACTACAAACAACAACAACCAGTATTTATGTCATTACTTGTTTTCTCCTAACTTTCATGAAATTTTAGATTACGTTATGATAGACTCTCTTTAGCAACAAACATCTAAGTTAAAAATACTAAAAATATAGCTTACATCAATATATAGTAGAATTACGACAGTACAATACCTTTTAACATTACTGATTGATAAATTTTTAACACATGAATGTTTTTTAATTCCTTTATAGATTATTAAATAATCAAATTGTATATTATTAATTTGGACAATGACATATTATGCGCTGTGGCAAAGGTAACTTGTCACATTAAAAAAAGGTTTATAAATAACTTTTTTCGAGGATATTGTTTTACCTCAAAAATTGTGAAGTTTAATTAGTTACATCGCGTGTTTGATACCCGTTGTAACTTCTTCTTAGCTGTAGGATTACGTGTAACTTGGGAATAAGAATACTGAATTTAAACATATGTATATATATATGTATATGTATGCAATAAATATCAAAATAATATATGAATAAAAAATATGTTTATAACAATACTTGCAGGCTAATTTATAGAAATATGTATATGCATTTTTAGTTATAATATATATCACTATTTTGTATCTCAGAAGAATATGATAACAGATGTCAGGTTAGTGCATTTGGAGCCAATATGGAGTAGAATCAACGTAAGCTAAATATTTATGTATTTAGGCTTAAAAACAATAATTAATTTGCATCATATGTGTAAAGAAAGTAGGTAAATTAATTAATATTTTACTCTGAGCCCAGAAACGCGTACAGCTGGTTCGAAAGTCTTACACTGTTTGCATTTCATTCTATTCTAATCACCAAAAGCAGCAATCCGAAAGCCTTACAAGTTACACTTGCAGTGTTTACACTTTTTAAACTTAAACTCAAGTTAAAGGTCTTTTTTAGTTTAACTTTAGTTTACCACTACCAGCAGTGCTGAAGACTGAATTTATAATTAGAATTGTTTTTAAACGATGGTTCACCAAGATTTTCAAATTCCTCTAGAATATGTTTTCATCACATTAATGTCTGCATGAATAGATTCATTTTCTGATTATTTCCCTTACTCACTGCAAAATCCGTAGTTGTCAATAATTGAATAAATAAATCAACTGGAAAAATTTTAAATAAATTTAGTTATGGCTCATCCTGTATCTACTAATAAGAGTTTGTAGCCATTAGTCATGTACATTTGTTAGAAATTACTTGTGTTCTAACACATATGACAAAAAAGATAATTACTGTTGATAATTACTTCAGTAATAGTTAACATGAAATTAATCAAATTCATATCTAAAAACTGAAATATAAAAATGATATATACCTTATAACAAGTAATGAAGGGATATAAATGTATGTGAATTGAGATCTGTAATACATAAGAAAACTGTAATATAAAAGAAATAAGCCAAAGCACATGAATTGGACTCAGCAACATTATAATTTATAAGTTTCAAACTGTTGATCATATATCGTCATCCTCTGTAACCAAATTAACATCTTGTAAGGAACCAGTTCATACACACAGGCATGTTTAAACATAATAATTTGGTGTGTTTTTGTTTGTTTTTCACATTATAAATAGCCATTTGCTCTATTTATTTACATTGCTCATAATTATTTACATTTATATATTTAATCATCAGTTATCAGAGCTCTCTTATTAATATTATTTGTGTTTATTATTTATAATATTTATTATTGGGTATTTTTGACAATTTGAAGTACACACATTTTAGATAGTTGAATGTGGATGGTCATGTAAACTAATGAAGCTAGTATGTGGTCCCCTCAAACTGGAGGATTAGTATTTAAGGCTAGGTAATTTGCACAGTTTTAGTATGCCATGACTCTACTATACCAAGGACTTATGTTGTGGCATTAGGGTGAGTAGGAAGTACACATCATTTTGGCAGTATGAAAAATGGTGTCTAGATCTGTAGCTCCCACATCATATTTATGCCTGTGACGTGTTTATTTCAGTTTGTGAAGTAATGTACCAACAGTATCAATACGTACAGCTATGAATGTAATGTTGTTGTCAAGAGTGTAATAAATGTATTTGTAGTTTTCAAAGTATTATTGTGTGTCTTTATCTATATTAGTGTGAACTAGTTGTAGGAACGACATAAACAACTTGTGGGACGTTATAATCTTATGTTGGAATGATGGTTCAGGTGCAGTACACTGAAAGATTTTATGATAACATTATGATAATGAATAAATAGTAAAACAGACCAATGGATATATGCATATTACAAATGAACCATTTGCTTCAAAACCATTAGTCTAAAAATATGCCCCTTAAACTGTAAATTATCTACTATTATTACAACTTATGGAATTGAAACAAGATGGTCAAGTTAAAATCTGATGAAAATGTATATAATAGATCATTAAAGTATAGCGAGAAAATTTAAATACGTGGTTTATGGAACAGTAACCATATCATGTATGTGTCTGTATCAGACAATTCTAGCATTCATACAATATTTGTGTTGCCTTTTCTTTGAATTCTCTCTGTTTTTAGTGCTGTGCACTAAGGAACTTGTGAAATGAATAGTGTACTTCACGTATGCAGCCAGTACTTATTGAAGAAATAATAAATATCTCATTATCTTTGAGGTTTTAAGGTCTTTCACAGGGATCAGGAAATAAAAGAGGGGGTAGGTATTTTTATTCATT